CCGAGAAGCGGAGCCCCAGCCCGCCTGCCGCCCGCGCGCGCGCCGCTGCCCTGACAGGCGCCCCGCCCCTCGCGACGATGTAGCAACCGTGGAATGCTCTGACGTCACAACGCCCCAAGGGGCGGAGCCGGGAGGAAAGGGCCGGCGAGGCGCTCTCCCCTCCCTCGCAGCCGCCCCATTGGTCCACGGGGCGCAGGCCGGCTGCTTCCGGGCAGTAGGGGCCCTCCTGGCCGCCGGGTGGAGAGAACTTTCTGGGAGGTGGGCCTTTTCCACAAGCATGGGCCTCCCGGTTTTGTCCCTCTGACTCCCGTCACCCAAGGAAGAACCTTTCCCCAAAGGTTATTCATTCATTTGAATCTATCCCTACTTCATTGGCTGCTCCTCTAAGGAATGTGATAATTAGCTAGTTCCTAGTCCCTGCAGTTCTAACTCATTTCATGTGTACTAACTTACTAAATCTTTACAACGCCTCTGAATTCGTAGCTATTCTACAGATGTAGAAACTGAGGCACAGTAATTATAACGATCATCCAGTTAGCCCAGCAGAAGCAAGACTGAGAAGCTGGCCCTCTTACTCCAGAATCTGTGAGCACACCATGCTACTTCATTTGCGATTCACCTGGGAGAGGTTAAAAATGCAGTCTGATGACCAGCAGGTGGTGAAGTGGTTAAGGCTCTGGACTCTCACATGATGGGGCCATGGTTCCAGTCCTGGACCCAGTGACTTGAACTCACACCGGGCATGTGTGAATGCGTGCCCAAAATCCTGAGAGGAGAAGGAATTACAGTGTGGCCATCACCCCTGGGGGTGCTTTCTCACTTTCCCTTTGTCGCTCTCTCTGCAATCTGATGCATTATAGAAAAAAAAAAAAAAAAGCGGTGTCAGGACCAGCAGTTGGTGTAGTCCAGAGCTGACTGCAGTTTGCTGGGCCTGGGGGGCTTGAAAATCATGCCAGGCATGTGTGCCTGCATACCCCAAATCCCAGAAGGTGAATGAGGTAGAAGAGATTGTGGTGTGGCCATTTCCATAGGGGTGGGGGAGGGGTGGTGATTTCTTTCTTTCCCTCCCTCCATCTCTTTGTCTTCTGTGAATGCTCCTGCCCTATGGCAAAAACCTTAAAAAAAAAAAAGTGCAGTCTCCTACAAGCGGGTGTCGATGTTAAAGCAGCTGGATCCCATATGGCCAACTACTTGGTTTGGGTTCTTAATTGGGGTTGTTATTTTGAAAATAACACTGGGCACATGTGTATGCATGCCCCAAATCCCAAGGACATTGGAGGACAAGGGATTGTGTATAGTCATCTCCTCCCTTCCAGGGGAAGGAGGGAGCGATTTCTCACTTTCCTTCTTTTTCTCTCTCTGGCCGGCACACGCGCCCTATGTCAAAAGTACAATAATAAACAAGAAAGATCTGGTCTCAGGTCCACCCTTGACTTGTTGAATCCGATTTTTTTAACTTATTTAATTTTATTTGTTATTATTAATTTGACCAGAGAGACAGGGAGAGAGAGAGAGGGAAAGGGAGAAAGAGCAATCTGCCAGGCCCAGGACTCGAACCACAGTCAGCCAAGTGGGAGTCCAGCACCCCAACCACCGTGCCACCAGCCGGCAGCGAATTTGATTTTAACCAGAGTCCTGTGTACTTGTAAGTATGAAAAGCTTTCTGTCTAAATTAGCATATTTCAACAGGGCAGAAAGGCTATGGATTCAAGGTCTCACCTTGTTAATAAATTGTTTGGGTGTCCTTGGACAAGCTCTTAAAGTAGGCCTCAGTTACTTTCTGTTTGTAGAAAAATCTGGGTGAAGAAATTAGATCCTCTCTGAAGGAGTTTCTTGCCCAGATTCTATAAGATCTACCAGCTGCGGGAACCAGCAGTTAGCATAATGGCTATGTCGCTGGACTCCCATGTAGTCGACCGTGGTTCGCGTCCTGGACCCGGTGGCTTAAAACTCACACTGGGCGCGTGTGTGTGCATGCCCAAGATCCCGAGAGGAGAATGGAAGAGAAGGGATTGCGGTGTGACCATCCCCTTTAGGGGGTGATTTCTCGCTTTCTGTCTCTATGTCTCTCTCTGTCTGGCGAGGGCGCCCGCCCTATGGAGAAAGCCTCTCCAAAAAAAAAAAAAAAAAAGATCTACCAGCTGCCATGTCTTCCACCTCCCAAACTTGGGTTACTTTGTAGTTTCCCCGATTCTGATTTCTACATAACCAAGAGGCAGACCAAGAATCTCCAGTAATGCTTTAAGTAGGAGGAGCTCTGGGGTATTCCTGCCTATCCCAACTAGGGAGACACTAAAGAAGAGTGTAACTAAAAAAATCACATTGTTTAGAAGAAGCAAGTTCTGTGCTAATCATTTACTCAATGAATTCTTCTTTAATAATAATAAATTTTATTATAGTTTCCATATCATGAAAATACACTTTGCATTGCAGAAAATTTAGAAAATACAGATAAGGCATAAAAGGAAAATAACAATCACTTGTAATTTCATCTAGGAAATCTTTCAAAATGTCAGTGTTTATTTTTTATTTATTTATTTTTTTGGAGAGCTTTTTGCTATAGGGTGTGTGCGCTTGCCAGAAAGACAAGAGAGAGACAGAGAGACAGAAAGCGAGAAATCACTCCCCCAGGGGGAATGGCCACGCCGCAATCCCTTCTCCTCCATTCTCCTCTCGGGATCTTGGGCACGCACGCACGTACATGCCCCCCACCTGAGTTTAAGCCACCGGGTCTGGAACTTGAACCACAATCGACTACATGGGAATCCAGTGATGGAGCCATTACACCACCTGTTGGTCCCTGTTTATTTTTCTTATCTTTGTTCTGTGAATAAATGTGTTTTATAAAATGAGGTCATCACAAACTGTTTTGTAAGCTGCTTTTTTCACTAATACAATATACTATTAACATTTTCCATGTCATTAAATATTCTGCATCATAATTTTTAATGACTACATAGTGTATACCATTGGGTGAATATGCTAATGTATTTTACAAACCCATATAATTGGACATTTAAATAGTTTCTAATTCTTCTCTATTAGAAACAATACTACGAAACTACGTGTTGCGATATCTTCGTGCACACTCACGATTATTTCTAGCAGTGAATTAATTTCCTGAAGTGGAATTAATCAATCCAAAAGTTATGAAACATGCAAAGATTTTTAAAAAAATAATTATTTACTTAATTTTATTTATTGTTATTTTTTAATTTGACCAGAGAAAGGGAAAGTGAGAAAGCAAGCTGCCAGGTCCAGGACTTGAACTGCATTCAACCATGTGGGAGTCCAACGCCATAACTGTCACACCACTTGCCAGCCCCTCTAAGGCTTTCTTTTTTTTTTTTTTTTTTGAGAGTTTTTTCTTTAGGGCGTGTGCACTCGCCAGACAGAGAGAGACAGAGCTATAGAAAGCGAGAAATCACCACCCACGGGGGATGACCACACCGCAATCCCTTCTCCTCCATTCTCCTCTCGGGATCTTGGGCACGCACGCACACGCACCCGGTGTGAGTTTTAAGCCACTGGGTCCAGGACACGAACCACGGTCGACTACGTGGGAGTCCAGCGACATAGCCATTACGCTAACTGCTGGTCCCCAATACAGTTCTTATTAGCACATTTCCCTGTAGGAAGTTGAGTCAATCTACTCCACCAACACTAGATATCTCTATTTTATTATCATTATTATTTTATACATTTAATTGTCATACATCATTTAGCTTGTATAGAGAATTTACCCAACATGAAATACACCTCAGAATACTACACATATCATCATCAACAGGTAATAAACCATTTCTGTGTCCCACAAATGTCTTACGCCTCTTTCTTTCTCCCTAATTTCCTTCCCTATACTCTTCCCTCTCACCCTCCTTCCACACTCCAGTGTCCCTAACTATTTTCAATGCTTTTATGTCCTCCAGTCTTTCAGTCTCTACCATAGAGTGTGGACAGTTGGTATATGTTAAGTGGAGACATACCATGTCTCTCTTTTATAGCCTGACTGACATCACTCAGCAATAAATCTTCCATAGTTGTCCATTTTCCATCAAATGTCAAGGTCTTGATGTTTTTATGGCTGAATAGTATTCCATAGAGTATATGTGCCACACTTTTTCAATCCATTCATTTGTTCATGGATATTTGGGTTGGTTCCATGTCTTAGCAATTGTGAATAATGCCACAATAAACATTGATGTGTAAGTGCTTTTCTAGCTGAGTGTTCTGTCTTTTGGGTAGATATCTATATTTTAAAACAATTCTAGGGACCAGTAAATGTCATAATGCTTAAGTCACTGGATTCCCACGTAGTCAACCACGGTTCAAGCCCCAGACCTGGTGGCTTAAAACACGCCAGGCGCATGTACATGCATGCCCAAGATCCTGAAAGAATGGAGGAGAAAGGATTGTGGCATGGCCATCCTTCCTGATGGGTGATTTCTCGCTTTCTGTCTCTCCAGTGAGTGCACATGCCCTAGATAAAAAAAAACTCTAAAAAACAAAAACAAAAAAAACTCTGCTAACTAGAAATATGAAAAGTAGTTTATTAGTAACAAAAAATCTATTTTGGCATTTAATTAAACATCTTCTTATGTAAGTTACCTATTTATGTCCTTTGCTCATTCTTTTATAGGGATGTTTCTTTTATTGATTTATAAGTGTCCATTATCTTTGAAGGATATTAACACTTTTCATATTTTTTCTTTTACTTTGCAAAAACAAAATTTTATTTCATTGACTAATTTTGGGTTCATGGAGGATTTCTTGTTTTTAGTTTTTTAGTTTTCTTATAGGGTACATATGCTTGCTAGAGAGAGACAGAAATAGAGAGAGAGGGAAAGTGAGAAATCCCCACCACCACTACCCAAGGGATGGCCATGACACAATCCCTTCTCCTCCATTCTCTTCTCAGGATTTTAGACATATTCACACATGCCCAA